CCTGCCTATGCAGGGGGTCGGACTTGATGATCTATTGAGGTCCCTTCCGACCCTAACATCTATGAATCTGTGTTTGATAACGACACAATTTTTTTTAGTAAAATATATTGTCTGTGTTTCTCTTGTTGTCTCTATTGTTCTCTTTCATTCCATTCCTTATTTGCTATATAAGTAAATTATTTTGATGTGTTAATCTCTGCCTGCAATAGGAAGCAGTCACAGGTGGTTGGCTTAATATTACCTTAACCTTCATTTATGCCAACCGTTAACCACCCATGTGGGTCTAACCCTAAAATTCTCCCACATTACATTGCTTTTCTGATGGGTTTGGTTCCATCTGATGGAAGACAGAGACATGACTGGAGTCCTCAAAGAACATTCAGGTACAGCAACATGTATATAGACAAAAGGAAGAAAAATGGGTCAAGTGCTCATAGTGACGTAGCAGCTTCTAGATAACACACTAGCGCGCTCTCATATGCATTTGGGGTATTGCCCATCATCAAGATGGCCACCATAACCTCCTAGGGTCTCAAATAATAATGGCTGTGCATACTACGTAATCCCATTAATGCTAGAAAATGGATCACAAAAAATGGACTTTTGTAGCTGAGTGCTGGCTGCATGCATCAGTTATTAGTAAGATTGATGCACACTGTATGAGATTAGAAGTATGGTGCTATCTGGTGCTATGGAAAATCCAGACTTAAGTTCTTTTTGATGAAGCTTTCCTTGATGTCCTTCAGTAAGTCACTTAGGAGACATCTGTACAATGCCCTAGTGCTCACCAGAGTACTACTAAGAAGCACAGATTTGAATATCTTACTCCTGCTCCACAGGAGCCAAATCTAGGAATAAGGCACTTAAACTGCCCTGAGAATAACGCTTCTCCCAAGCATGCCAGACTGAGATGTCACAGTTGCAGGATGGTTTCACTGCCTCATTTTCAGAGTAAGGAAACGGTTCTCAGCAGCCCTCTCAGGAATTCGGAGGAATGAATATACACATTATCTTTATTAGTTAGATCCACAAAAAGACTTAGGCACCCAATAGCCTGCCTAGCTGTGCCCTGCCGGGACCTAAATTCTAAATCAAGATCCTTAAAGCTGCTTTGCCACCAATCTAGTCTTGCAAGAACCTGAAGTCCACAGGCATGTTAGTTTCACCAGCAAAGTTTCCCTGGTACCTGGGGACCAAAGTCCTTTCTATATATTAAGGCCACAGGTACAGGTGTACAAGACAAACACAAAAAAGGAGGCTAGCTTAAAATAATAAAATAGGAATAAAGAGAATGAAGAGCGGGAAAAATGTTCTGAATAGAGGTAAGTGAAAATTGGAACTTCTATCCTGTGGGAAATTCAACTTTTTTACATTTGTTTCAGGCCTTAATTAGCCTGAAAACCTAAATACTGTGATATTTCATGGAACCAAAAGTCCAATTTTCACTCACTTCTACTCTTAAGAATTAATTAGAAAATGATTACACTTGTTGAAAAATATTTATTTGGCAGAAACTGCAGTATACATTAAAATACAATTGACAGAAAACAATCCTGACCACCTTTATTAGGCTACTAAACATACTGCAGGAGGCAAAAGGTACACATACCCCTGAAGACGGACAACAAAAAGGAAGAACAAAATAAATCATTATGGTTACATGATGACTTGTAAGCAGCTAAGCATGAAAAAGGTGCACTTCTGTGACTTCACTACTTACCCTGCTCTACCCATTAAAAAAAAAAAAAAAAAAAAAAAAAAAAAAAAAAATTATTCCGAGGAATTCAACCAAATGCCAGAACTATGACACACAAGGTCAGTCATGAAAAGTGCAATCATCAGAATTTTTTCCCCAGATTATCTTTAGACTTTCCATTAGAATATTTAAACACACACTTTTTCAAATATAAGAATTTATTAGTCTATAATGAGTGTCATCTCACCAAGAGAATGTGATGAATGTCCTCACTTCCCTCTCTGTGATTTATGATCTTCTGATACATGGGAAGCACCAACTGTCCCTTTTTTTACTAGAAGTACTTGGCAAGTATTCTGTAGAAGGAGGTAGTTGCTGATTGTTAGTGATTTCCTCTTGGTGGGACACGAGCTGCTCACTGTTATCTGTTCCCACTGCCTCAGACTGACTCATTTCAGATGGAAAAGTCTCCTCTTCTTTGGGCTGAATCTGTTTACTGTTACCCATTTCTTCTGCTTGTGACTGGATGTTCTGTGGGTTAGGGGTTTCTCCTGATTCAAGATGACTCTGTGGGTACTGGAATGGTATATCAGGCCTTTCATTACCTGACAGATTGTCACTAGAAGCAGCTGAGCATTCACAAACATGACTGCTGCTAAAGCAAGCCTCCCTTACAGATTGCAGATTCTTTACTTCCTCCTCATGTTTCATGTCCAGAAAACTGGGGAGTGATTCAACAATGTATGATGCCATTCTCTCAGCTATTGTACTGATGATGGAATTCTTAAAGGAAGAGCAGTTATTGTCCTCATCTGAATGTGTGTCCCTCCGAAACCACCTCTGGAAATTGTCTCTTCTGGCAAGTTCTTCAGAAGATCCAAGAGTGAAAACTGAATCATCAACAGCCTGCTCCACACTTGACCAACTTGATCCTGGGACTTCATCATCTGAAGGCTCCTCATCATTACTGGCTGTTGATTCATCAGCAGTAGTATGACAATGATCCTCCTCCTCTTCCTCCTGCTCCAATTCTTCAGAACCTTCTTCCTCATCTGAAGATGAAGTAAGAGAAGAATAAGACTGGTATACCTCTTCATGCAGAGGAAAAGGAATATCATAACTGGCTCGCCAGTCGTATACCTTACTGTTGAAAGGAGATCGGGCAAAGTTGATAAATTCGTGCAAGAAGTGATTGGTGTAATAGAGCAAGTGAGGCTGTAAGATATCTGCAAATGCTTGACTCTCAAGATCATAATAAGTCATATTATGTAAGATGATATGCTGTATATCATTGACTAAAGACACATGAGAACCACACAGTACTCTCAATTCACGCTTTAGCCAGGGAACTAATCTTCGAAGGCTGCCTGGGTTTTGATGAAAAAAATCTGCGGAGATGTTCCTGTAGAATCCTCCAGACGGGACACTTCTCACCCTCACACCAGATCTATAGAGTGCTCTCCTGAACTTAATTGTTAACTGCTCCCGTACTTTCCCAAGAGATATTCCACCTGGATGAGATGTTCTCCTTATTGCAAAACGTCTCACCAGTTCATCAATTGCTCTCTCCCTCACTCGAGTTAGTGGACCTGAAAATCCATCATGAAGAATCCCATCATCTGGTGGGGATTCAGGCCTTTGAGTAGAAGCTGACCTTACCTCAAAAATGACAGATGACCTATTCTCCACAGGTAGGACATATTCCTCAAAGTCATTGTCAGCTTTGATGCTATGAAAGAATGAATAAAAATGCTGCTTGCAGAGAGGACATTCTGCTTTCCTTTCTGACCACTCCTGTATACAAACAAAACAAAACCCATGGAAACATGGATTTAAGTAGGATGCATTTTGGATTCTCTCCAAGCAAATAGGGCATCTTGAGTCTGAAGATGCATCTGTTAGCATAGACATATTTTTCTTGCTTGTCCCAGCTGTGGAAGAAAAGCTGCCATCAGTTTTAAACTCTTCACTCGAGGATGCCATATCTGATGAAAAAGAAAAAGAAGCAGATCAGTAGGTTGATTCAGTGGGAGGCTTGTCTGGCTAGAGTAATGGGAGGAAATGGCTTGTTTTACCACTCCACCTGGTTTATAAATATCTTTTTTGTCTAGAGCACATATATCCAGTGTTCCCTGTAAGGGTTACTGATCCGTGAGCAATCCTGGCTGGGATTACGCTGGTGTCTCAGTGTGCCCACCCCTCCCCCATCCTGCAGCAGCCTGTGGCTGGGTTGGGGCAGGTGGTGAACAACCGGACACAAAGCCAGCAGTGGTGGCAGGGGGAGCATTGGCATCCCCCTTGCTACAGCACTGGGTGTCCCCCCCAGGCCAGCACCCGGGGGCCATGCCCCCCTACCTTCCCCCACATTGGTTTGCCACTGTGCGCTGCATTAAATGTTATTGCATGGTATGATTTTTTTTATTGTGCACAGCCATGCACGCATATAGCTTAGAGGGAACATTGCATATATCCACTCAACTAGTCTTGGTAAAAATCTTCTACTATAGGAAGAATACTGAAAGATGACAGGGAAGAAAAAGCTTCCTTCTCTAAGCCTGACCCTACCATAACTTAAGCAGGGTGACTGGGACAGTACATTTATGGCAGGGACCACTGCTCTGGGAATGACACAGTTGCCTGGAACTGCCTAGCTGCACCTCTGAAATAAGTGCTACCTAACTCCACGCAAGAAATTATTCAGATTCTGGAAACCTGATTTCAATCAGATTGCTGATTTCCAGAGGAGTTTAAGGAACCTGGATGCTTAATACTCTTTGTTCATTTGAAAGTATCAGTCCATGGGAGTAAAGGCAGCATACTTTTCCTCAGAAAGACAATCTGCAAAGTATGATACTGTCTGGCCCACTGAAATCACTCAGTCTGTCTCAGATGGCTTTTCCCCTCACATTAGCTCAGTTCAATAGGGAATTATCTAACTTCAGTTTTCTGTGATCAAGATTTTTTGGAAATGCCTTGAGGGTTTCAGGTGTTTTAATTTGTGTGTTCAACTTGAGGGACTGCACCTGAAGAGAAGGGAGGAAGGAGGTATTCAGGCCTCTTTAAAAATATACATCTAAAGTTGGATATTCAAACTGATGTGCCCAAAATTAACAGTTCTGTCTGAAAATACTGGCTAAAGTCCCAGCAAAGCCAAGTGATTTCAAAAGGGAAACTTCTCCCTGCCCAAGACAGCAAGAGACTTCAGGGGCTACTAAATTGCTAGTGTTCATTTTTAAACTATCAGTTAGCAGCCCACCATTGCTCTCTCATTTGTCCTGGGCCTCTTTGCTTAAAAGAAAGGAAAAAACAAAATAAAGGAAACAGAATTGCCGACGCTTTAATTCTCATCAATTTTCCCAAAGGAATGACAACCCTTCCTCTCACCATACTATTTTTAGATCAGTTATTAAGACAAGTAGGGTTACTGGAATACCCTTGGGTTCCATGAGATCTTTTTCAGGATAACATGGGGCACGATGAAATATTAGCAGTGTTAGAGGTGCAAACATCTACACATGGTTCACAAACTAAACCCAGAGTTTTCAGATAGGAATCCATAGTGTCAAAAATATTCTGACCTGTTATGGTTTTTCTGTGCTCTTTGAAACAGAAGAATTGCTTTATTATTTTTCAGTAGTCAAAAAAGAGGGAAAGCTAAGAGCAGCATTTTCAAAAAGGAACCTTGAGTCTAATGAGTGGTTCCTCGAGTTCAAAAAGGTTGGGAACTACTGATATAGATCAACCCTTCAATGGCAGTAGGGAAGGGGGAGGAAAGTGAGGGAGGGGGAAGGGGGTGGAAAGATGCACCCAAAAATCCATTGGCAAATACCAGAGGCTCATTCTTACAACTCATCTTTTAAAAACTGAGCAAAACATGGAGACCTAAAAGCTGAAATAATTTGTTTTCAATAAGCATCATGATTTAAAAGACATGATTCAGAACCTATTCTTGAAACAACTTCACCACTAGAAAAGAAAAATAAAATATGTTCATCCTTGGTGAATGGCATTAAATAACTGATGACTTATACTCTTCATATGACCCAAAATGTACCTAACCTTCCTCCCCCAATCTCAGTGATTTTTAACCCCTGTAAGTACCCTGAGAGCTTTGTCTGTTGGATATTATATATTTCCATTATATCTGCCACCTTCCCCACCTATTAGAATGGAAAGCAACCCTCTCAATGTCATGGCCCTTGCATTACCAACACCTATAGGGACTTAAATGAGACTTTTCTCCAGCCTGCAAAATGCTGCAGGATTCTTCATATAGTCATGGTTCTTGTTAAAGCAGGTGGAAGACAAAGGTGACTCAACTGCTTCAGAACTAGAACTAGAAAGAAACACAGGAGACTTCTTGCCTACTGAAAGCTTTGCATTTTCATGTCACTGCCCTCCAAATAAGAGTTGCACTTCAGACAGATGGATGCTCAGCCTTATTAAGGAGCAACACATGAATAATTCAGACATCTGTGACAAGTGATAAAGGGTCTGGAAATAAAGTGACTCAAGGTCTTTGTGAATAGATTTAAAAACCACCACAGACATAATAAACATGTGTATTACAAGAGCATCAACAGGCCTGCAGTGGAGAGGATGCTGGACAAACATGAGACACTGTCCTACCTCAGAGGCCCTAGAATGTAAATAGATTTAAAGGAGAGGGATGGGAAGAGACACTGATGAAGTGACTTGTTTAAGTTCAAATAGTATTTCAGTGATGGAGCTGGAAATAAAATGTCAACTCCATAGTACCCTGCTCATGAGAATGCTCTGCCTCTCCTACATGTCAAAACCAATTTCTGATTTTCAGAGCACAAGAAAAAAAATCCTTAAAAAAAAGAATATGAAGTTCCTACAACATTTAAACTGAACGCACCCAAAGACACAGATTCTATTGAGCTTTTTCAAGATTGTCTACATGATTAAGTACACATTCTTCCATTAAAATTATTCTATCAAAGCCTGCTAGTCTAATGTTCAAAATAAAACATAAGTCTTGTTCCCAGTGCTTAACGCATCGCATATCAGAATCACTTCTTCTGCCACTGAAATGTAATCACTTCTGGGGCAGAATGTGACAACTCTTTTGTAACATACAACAGCGTACTCTAGTCACGTGTGAAAAAACATTGAAAAATATATCTATCTAATTAAAACTAGAAGGGGGTTAAATCAGTGGAATAATAGCAGTCCCTAGTGTAATTTAACAATGACACTGGAGATAACAATGCCCTATTATCCAGGTAAATAGCTAGGAATCACGGTCAGGGGCTTCCTAAAATTCTGTTTGCCCTTGTTCTGTATAAGAATGATCCCTATTAAAAGAGTAAAATTATTCTTGCACAATCTATATTTCCTGTGGGGATCACCCATCCAAATGTGGACCAAGCATTGCTCTGCTAAATTAATGAGATCAAAGCACAAGATAATGGCACTCACAGGTTGGGTTCTGAAATAATCTGAAACACAACTTTAACAAATGTAACTATACATGGCTGTCTCAGCACATGTTGAGCTGACTGAAAGACTTCCTGGCCCCTCTTCCCCCATTATGGTGCTTTATTTTTTTTTCAACCAAGTTTCCTGAAAATTTTCTCCACTTTTAGGTCTGCTCCATAAAGGAGCATCTAAACTGTTTAAATCACTAACTTGATGGTATGGGAAATGGGAATTAATACTGATTTAAGTTTAATTATAACAACTGCTGAATAAAACAATATTTTATTGTATAAATAGTTCAGATTTCAAGAGGCAAGCAACTGGATTTTTAGTTTTCCTTCAAGTTACTTACAAGTGACTAAGAATTAAATCTCCCATGATTACTAAAGAGAAGTGCCAGAGATTTATATTCATAATGTTAACCAATCAAGGCTAATGACAAAGCCAAGGAATTTTTTTTTTTAATATCTGAAAGTTTCTTCTGGACTTGAAGAGTAATTTTGGGGAAAATATATGCTGTCTGCATCTTCATACGTAATTAAAAAAAATGAAGCCCTGTTCTAAATCTAAAGCACAGCTCATATTTGATTATGGAATCACTACTGATATCCACGAATAAGAAACACAAGTAATTGTAAACACTTTGTAAAATGCTTACCTCAAAGTAGGTCCTAAAGGTTAGATTGTTGGCTTTTCTGTTGCACTCCCTTATATCTCTTCTTCATTCCACTTTGGCATGGGCACCTCTCTCCTTTATAACATGTCTCTCTCTTTCTTTCCTCATGTCTTCAACTCTTTCTCTTGGTCTCTTATAGCTTCAAAAGCCCATGTCTCCTCTGCTCCTTCAGACAACATTCTGATTGGATCTTTTTGGTGATGTCACAACCACACACCAGCTCATAATAGTTGCATAGCTGGGTCCTTGTTGTTATAATAAATACATTCAAAATTGCAAAGCAAGTCATGCTAATCTGGTCCCTTTGTAGAGGAAGTGGTTCAAGAGGGTTTTACCTGTCCTTGGGACCTGTCCTTGTCTCTGCATCTGGCTCCTATGGCTGGACAGTGTGGGGCTCCTACAAGTTGGCAGTGGAGTGCTGTTTCTGCTGTGTGCCAGTACCCAGCTCCTACAACTAAGTGGCACTGGGCTTTTCCAGCTGGACTCCTATGCCCAGATGGGGCAGGGCTGCTGCAGATGCCGCAAAGGTTCTGGGCAGTGGGGGCATCACTCTAGTGCCTCCTCTAAGACAGTGCTTGAGCCTAGTGTGCCTCTCAGCCCTCTTAGTTACACTACTGGGGGCATCCAGCTACTTCAGGCCTTGAAGCGCTCTACATTCCTAGTTCTCTTAATAACAGAGTATTAAATATGGCTTCTTACACTGTGGAAAGGAGTGAAAGGAAAAGGCCAGTGAAGGGACAGAAGACAATTAGATGCTTTCCCCAGTCCCTGACATTCTTCCTTTAGTATTCATTTCCATAGCACTGTGGTAAGACATTCCTGTGCCACAAGAGAAAAGGACGGAAGGAAATTTTCAAATTAAAATAAAGAAAGTTTAAATTCAATGCCTCAAAACTATTTTATTTTCATCTTTACTTGCCGATTAAAGTCTGGAAACTAAATATTTGGAATTTACATATTTTCCAAATATTAAGATTTTGTTTTAGGGTTCCTTCCCAACATAAGAAAACGATTATGTGAAAGTTGGGGTGGATGGGTGGGGGGGCAAAGGAAGAGGAACAATTTTTACTTTTTTCCATATAAGTGGGTATTTCTTTTTGAAAACAGAACAAAAATAAAGTTCCAAGAAAAACCTGAAAATGTCACAGCAATTTGTGGGATGGCCTATTCCTGCTTCCTTAACTGCTTAAGTATATCAAGAGTTGCCAACCTTTTGGAAACAAAAGTATTGTAGTTGGCCAAGGTGCTGGTATTCCTTTCAGATCCAGATAGTAATCTCACCAGACTGATAAATTGCAAGGAATATAGAAGGACATTGGAAGCCTCAGAATCCTGGGAAAAACTGTCCCTAGGAAAAGCTTATAACAGCATTTCAAAATGCACGGAGCATTTTATGGCAGGTTCAACACTATAGAAGGCAAGGTGGAGCTGCAATACACAGAATCAGGACATTTCAATGGTGACTTATAGCTACCTTTATTCCTCTTACTTCTGTGGACATAAATTAAAAAAATCACAACTAGCAAAGCCTATTCCTAGATCTCTATGGTTATTTTTAAGGCCCAAGATAGTTTTTCTTAGAGTGGCCTGGGGGAGTTCTGATCCAGAACTGTAGGGGGGGCATCTGTCTCCTGTTAGCAAGAAGCCATTCATCCCGGGGAGTTAGTTGGAGTCCTACTGTAAATAAAGCATGCATGCAAAGTGCCTTTGGTGGCAATTAATATACAGCAAGCAGCCTCTTGAAATCTTAGCATGGTATCAAAAGGGAATGCAGAAGAAGGAGATTCTTTCCCAAAGGCAGGGTCTCTTTTCAAAGCAGTTTTCCTTGACAATTGCTTTATCTAATTTTTAAGATTTGCTACTGCCTTTAGCAAAAAATTGCTTTATCTAATTTTTAAGATTTGCTACTTCTTTTAGCAAAACCAGCCTCTGAAAGAGGGAACAAAAGGTCAGGTTTCTCTCTCTTGGTTAAAAAGAAACCATATGAAAGCGAAACAGACTTGATTTTTCTTTATTCTGAAAACACCACCCACACCCTCCACAAATCACTCACATTTCTCAAAACAAAAGTGGCTGTCCCAGCCAATAACTAACCTCAAGCTAACAAAACAAACTGTTCTTCCCTACTCCAAAACAAGGTCTGCAGTGTGAGACATTTTATTATATCTGAGGCAGCTTTAGGTAGGGGTGGGAGGGAGAGTTTAGGAAATGAAAAGACCAGAAAGTCATAATGGAAAATATCTTTCAGACTTGCTCCATCTGGAGAAGCAAGTGGTTAATAAGCCGCATCCATGCTGATGATTAGCACTATATGTTTATCCAAGTATGCTGTAAGTGACTAAGGGAATTTTATGAACACAGGTTTTATTTGTATATGACGGCTTCAGTGGTCTCGTACCATAAGGGATATTGTAATGGGTTTACATACGTATGTTTTTTGGTGTAATTAAAATAAATTTGCTTTTATTCTAGCCATTTACTCCACATTAAAACACTGTTTTAAGAGGACAAGAAATATGCAAAAGGAGGAGGAACAGTGAATTGAACTTTCACCTTGCTACACGTATGCCTCCTCCATTCTTTGAGATGCAGCCTGGTGTAGCAAATAAAGAAATACAATAAGAGTTAAATTACCTGGTGCCATCTCCACCACAGACCTGCATAGTGACTTTAGGAAGCCACTTCTTCTATGAGCCTTTGACTTTCAGCCTGCCATTTATTTTCCATACCAGTATTTAAATGGAAAGCACTGCAGGACAGATTATGGACAAATTCAATTCCTAGGATTACAGAGCATGGATGTACAGTAGGGCCTCTATGTACTACAAATAGTACATAGTTTCTCCTGAGAATAAATCTGTGAATTGGTATTCTCTCTTCCATCCTTTGAAGTATACATTCCCTTCATTAACAATGAGACAGGGAATGTATCAGAGTCACGAAGCATCTCTCATAAATATGGGTCAGCAGGAGTTTTCCAGTGCCAAAAATTGTTTGCTTCCCCCATTTGGTGGAAAAATTATGAGCATCCTTTTATCACAGTGATAGGGCTAGAATTCCATCCTGACTGGTCAAGATTCAACAAAAAGGCATAAAGGAATATTAGAGCCAGTAATTATTTTACTATCTTATTAAAATATATATAAAATAATTAAGAATCACAAATGCTATTTTTAAAGTGGGTTAAAACAATCTAAGGTCCATTTTTCATGATAGTAACTACTGTGCATCTCATGTTCCTTTCAGCATTATTATTGCTTTTAAAGCATTTTTAATTTAAGAGACAGAATTAACTTTGTGGATAATCTGTTACAGTTAATTGACTGGAGGTATAAAGCTAAGAGTACACGCATACTTTACACCTAAATCAATCTAACCCTAGTTAGGCCAACTTGTGTGGCCTAACTAGGCCACACAAATCTATCCTTGTGGATAGATTTAAGTCTGTACAGATGTTTGGGGAGGATAGATGGGATGAAAAAATGGCTGACCCAATCTTACTTAGTTGACTTTATCAGATGAACTAAGCTAGAAATCGGGAATGGGTTAACCCAATCTAACAAATGTCTCTTTATGTTCAGAATGCAGCCCCTGGGCTGGGAAAGCAACAGCCTCTCACCCCAGCCCCAGGGTTGTGCTCTTTTTATCCCCCAACCCACCTATTTTTAGCCCCTGATCCCTGTACCCCACAGACAGAGAAGCCCTCAGCAGACACACCAACCACCCACCTGCCCTGCAGACACACCAACCCCTCTGATCCTGCCAGCCCACTGCAGACCCACTACCTCCCTCCCCTCTCTATGATCCTGACTTAGATCAGGTTCCTGCCATGGATTCTGGCACTGGTGAATGTCTGCTCAAGTGCAACTCAATCTATGATCACACAGCTTAAAGTAAAATGTGCAGATTGAGGCCCCAGTGGTAACAATTTGAAATGTGGAGACACTGATACACAGGTCTTGGAGCCACTCTAATTAAAGCACCCCCATCCCCGCAGCACATGTAAAAATACCCCAGAAGTCTTGCATGCCCTAAAACAATAGTCACCATTTTGTCTAGAAAAATGCTTATATCTTGCCAACCATTTAGGATGCCATAGGTATAATTTCCCCAGTCTGCACTCATCTGTTACTTCTCTTCTTTGTTTCTGAGAAGAAACATTCATTTCATTTTCAGTGAAAAATGCAGTATGGTTAGATATAGCTGGCAGGACAAGGAAACAAAAGTATGTGTGTGGATGGGTGATATAAGGTACTGGAACTGAAAAGTTAAATTAGTATCTGGCTACACAAACACCCCCAGAGATCATTAGAAGTAAACAGAAAATCAAGTTTGATCATGACCAGATGATTTTCTGGTCTATCAGGTGACAGATTCCTGTGCTCATCTTTTAAATAGGTGGAACATGACTACACAGATGCAAGTGCTTTCAAGCATCACTTGGAGAAGTCAAGTAGCCTCCTCAGTAGGCACAGCACTTAATTCTTTTGTCAGGTTCGCTGTCTTTGGAATTTGTTCAGAATCTTTATCTTCTATTCCATATGGAAATATAGGAAAGAGATTCTGTTTACTCTGTACTTACATTGGTGACAAGTTGATCCCCAGGAACTGCATGTAACATCTGGCTTATGGCCATGTGGCATCTATCCTAATGCAAGTTCTATGTATAATAGACAATAAGCCTGAAAAATCTGTAATGGCTCAAGATAAGGTCCCCAATGCCTCATCCTTGGTTTGACCAACTTTTTCTCCATCAAGATGAGAGTTTTAACTCGGCATTAATCATTGTTCTGAAAACTTCTAGATCCTACTTCTATACTAGTCCTTCCTCTCAGGCATTTTTCAGGTCAAGATAATTAATCCAGGATTTAAAACTTCCTATTTTCTCCCTCCACTTTCCCAAACTTCCCATTTCCCAACCCCAGATGCATTCTTCCACAGCTAGTAGATATAAATATAAAAACACAAACAACACAATAAACAATACTAATAGACAAAATATAAAATGCACAAAATACAAGGCACCAAATAACGAGAGATACAGGGCGTAGGTACCTGAAGGGGGAAAATGCAATGACCCCCCTCCACTCCAACAAAAGTTTCTCCCCTGTTACTTCACTTGCCCCTACTTGACACAGCTAAGACTTGAACTCAGATATC